GAAGTTCTTAGTATTCCATAGAAAGCGGAGTAAATTATTTTCAGCTTATAAACGTCGGCTGTATAGAATTGTAAATTCGTATATTTAAAAATTGGAAAAGAGAATAAATAGTATATAGTGAACTTCAATTTTCTCAATCTTCCATATCATCGGAATTGCCTCGACCTATGCGCAGCCATGATTACATTTCCCTTATTTTTCAAAATCCACTTGCTTTGTTTCGCTCTCGATTTTCCTTTTCTTGTGATTCCAGACCCACCGCCGCGCGTTGCGTTTTACGCCTGCACATGCACATCCTTTCCCACGAACATAAACTCGCGCCCACGAGGACGTCGACAAGGATCGCGCTGTAATTTTAAAGCGATCGAGCTACGATGCGCGGCGGGGTTTTGAGGGACGAGGAGTAGGAGGAAGAGGAGGACGAGAAGGATTGGCCGGCGGGGGAGAGGGGGGAGGGGGTGGCAAGTTTATAAGCCAACGCGCGGCGAACTTGCACTTCGCCTTTCTTCTTCTATCGCCGTTCTTTTTTTCCGGTACGTTAGCACGCAGCGAGCAATAATTAATTAGGAAAGAAGTATTTCATCGATTTTAACGCGGGATTGAAATTTGATTTGCCCGATCTTAGCTTACGGGACGTTTGTAAAAATGCGCAGTCATGTTCGTTGTCATCGTCACGAGTGTGCAATTGCGGATGCTCGCTAGTGCCGCTGAATTCTGCTGAATAATTTACAAAGGAATCGGAAGGAAAAAGGTAATATTGCAGATGCTTGTTTGTCACGCATTGTTCTAAAAATTACAAATGTTCTCATTCATGATCTACGGTGCAGCAGTCAAAAGTAACTTGTTGTTGGGTTACGTACGTGAGATATAGTAATAGTTTAATTTCGATATTTAGCACGAATTTCAATTAAATTATGAATATTATCAATCTTTAAATTTGTAAATTTGCTCATAAGATTGAAAGACAATTTTTATCCTAATAAGCGCAAAGATAATTTATATTAATTCTATCGGTATTATAATCAATGGATTTATTTTGATCGAATGGTGAATATTCTGCTCATCACCGATGCCAGAGGTCAGAGTGAAATTTAGTTTGATGGCTCGAGAATTCCTCAAGGCAGTAGGTTCCGCTTGTTAGATGAATACAAATGTAAGGGGCGTTTGAAAAAAAAAAAAAGAAAAAAAAAATTAGAATTCATGCTTCTATATAATAAGATTAGTCAATGGTTATCGCAATGAATGCCTACCGGGGATGGGAATGAAATTGGCCTAAACATTTGCATTTGGTCTAATTGAGAGGCAATTACAAATAATTGACGCGGAAAATTTTTTCGAAATTGTGATTGATTTAAAAGCGCTACATACTGCGAGACATTGTGAGAAGCGGTTTGAGTGATGCGAGAACACGAATTAGTATTCTGAACAATGATCTGCTCGACCGATTAACTAATCCGTAATAGAAAGGAAATAACCGATTTTCAATCTGTAATTAGGATTTCGATTTACCAGTGAAAAATTGTCTAGACTTGCATCGGAACTGTAATTCAGTCAAGTGCGACCAAGTTGAGATCTTCATTGGCAAAGATATTAATGAAAAACGAACCGCAATGTTTCTTACTGTAGTAGGAAAAGAATGGTGTTTTATCACATTATCAATATCTATTGGCGTTACGCTTGATTTTACGTAATCTTTATAAAATTGAAAATTTTTAATTAATTATAAAAGAGTGATGCAAGTTCCATTTTAAAAGATACCTATGTGAGGGACAACTTGTTCGTATTTCTCAATCGATTAAAGAATTCATATTCAACATGATAAATCGTCCACGATTATCTATTTTTCTTTATACCATATTTAAAAACAAGAAATAAAAATAAAATAAAAAACAAAAAAAAAACAAAAAAAAAAACAAAAACAAAAGAGAAATAAACGTTTAAACGAACGGTTTAAATATTTATGAGCGGAATACATTGCAACTAAAGTTTCGCCTCACAATTCTTTATGCATCCTCTAAGAAATCTACCGTGCCCAATGAGAGAGCCACCTGCATTTTAAAGAGACTTCCGCTTACTCAATGATATCTCCAGCGCGCAGAAATGCGAGCTTTAACTTTTGTTCGAAAAGCGAAAAAAACTCAGGAGCCTCGTGTCTTTTTCCAGTTTGGACTTCGCCAGCTGGATCTGTCCTTGCTATCTCAACTCTGGTCGCTGAATGAGTCGATTCAAGAGTTCCGGCAGCTTCTGCAGGAGCAGGAAGACCGCGTGCCCTCGCCGTCACCAAGCAGCGAAGAGGGCGACGACACCTCGTACAGCGGCTCGGCCCAGCCGCCCCCGCCTCCTCGTCGATCCGCCCCTACAACACCTCATCACCACCACCAACAGCAACAGCAGCAGCAGCAGCAGCAGCAGCATCACCATCACCACCACCATCATCTTCACCACAGGTCCGCGAGGTCTATGAGGAACTCGCAACTGTCGCCAAGCGACGAGTCTCCGTCCAGCGAAGAGTACGGCGCCGTCTGAGCCATCACTGTGCATCCTCATCTGTCCTGATCTCGGAACTCTATAGAGAATGTTTAGGAAGAGAGCGGTGAACGCGTCGACGATACTTTTAGATTTTCTTCTCATGGCCAACACTGCTACGCGAGTCCCGCGATGCCAGTTGTCATCTACAAATATTGTTAATATACTGCTTTGACTCCCCCGTCCCCTTCCTGTTTCCCGCCTTTTGTCTCTCCACCCTTCCGCATCCACGTGTTTTTGCAATATATCCTTTGTTTGTTCATGCTTTGTTCCTTCTCAGTTCTCATAGCATTTAGTAATTGCAATGTCACTCTTAAATCAATTTAATAACTATTGTAAACCAATCAGTGCTCATACTTTTAGAACATGCTATTAATTCTTATTATTGTAAAGTTTTTTTTGGTTATAATACTCGGCTCAATTAGAGTTTATTGCTTAGAATTTATCTGGATTAACAATTTAATAATGTAATTTTCATACCTTCCACTCGAATTAAGATTTATAGAATTTATATTAATTTCTTTTCATATTAATTATAGATTAAATAAATTAATTGAAATTAGTGCTGATGATGATTTGTAGGCCATACATCTTTTTCAATATATACACTTTCTTCAATCTATATAATACGAAAAACATAGATTTGATTATTAACCATTAACACGAGCCCTATAAAAATGGGTTTTAATTCACAATTTATTATATTGTACAAAATAAATGTTGCAATGACGTATTGGTAATTGATACCGCGGCAGTGTTTCATGCGCAAAAAGAGAATGACGTAAAGCTTGTCGAATACGAAAAAGTAGTTTACACTAAACGTTTTATATCATTTGTCTAAAGTGATTTTACATTCATCTTATACAAATGAAGAAAATTCTCCCAACTGAAGAACTGACTAATGAACACTGGAGTAAGCTTTTGTTTGGGTGATTAAGTGAACCGCTACTTCAAAATATTTCGAAATTGTGTTTATTTTTGTTTTTATTTCGTAATTCTTAAGCCATTGTATTTGCAGTTAAAGAATGCTAGATTCTTATCACGTAACCGACTGAAAGTTTCGTGATTTATAAAATTTATTCATGATGCTCAAAAGAACCGAGATCCACGTTCTAGTTGCGTTGTAACTGAACTTTTATAATTATATATAGTGCATAAGTTTTAAGAAAAATTGATTTCCTATGTTCACTCTAATCGTACGAGATATTGTGACGGCTAGTGAGTTCCAAAGAAGCGCTTTTAGAAGGACAATTTTCTTAAGATATCTTGAGAATTTCTCTTCACAGGTACAATAATATTTCATTGATCTATATATTCATAATGCTCAAAAATTCGATAAATATAATTTTCTTAACTTTATTTACAATTTCGATTATCCGGTTTTACTTATATAAATAAAATCGTATGTTACTTATAAAAATGTTGAGCGAATGTACCATAAATTTGATTCAAGCATTATACTCATAAATTGAATGTAATGGGCAATGAAATAATCGTTATGAATTCATGTAAAAATGGCTCAAAATCGCTTGTTAACTCTATTTTCTATGTTAATCGAATGACGCAGTCTAAGGTGTCTGAGCGTTTTTTTTTTTTTTTTTTTTTGGTAATAATTCAACATTGTGTTAACGTCAGCAATATAGAATTCTAAAAGATAAGCATATCTTGAGAAAATATGTTTATTTTATTAATTGGCAATTGCAAAGTATTGCAATATAATTTTTAAATATTTTATACAATATATTAATAAAAATATTCTCAAGAAGATTGTCCTTTAGAAGAGAGTTCTTCTGCCTTTTTGTAATAAACATTATAATTGCGTTACAATAAGAGGATAATTGTGAGTTTCCTATAAGTAAATAGTGTTTCAGAGCTGAGCAAATCGATGTTGCTCAATAAAAGTGATACATAATTGTACATTGGAAGCCTGATAAGCAATAAACTAGTTATGATTTAAAACAAAAATATAATAACTTAATTTCAGTTTCTGTGATTACTATATATATATATATTTTTTTCCACTTTTAAAACTATTTAAAATAAAACAATTCCTTTATCAATTGAAAATCATTATCTTCAAAATTAATTTAAGAATTTTAAGAAAAAGATTTTAAAATATTTTATATGAAAAATGTATATTTCGAATCTAAGTTTATCTATAAAATTATTTATTATATCAGTGCATAAATTTCATAAAAGGAAATTAGTTAACTATTTTATACACTTGATTTGTAATTATTTTATGATTATTAATTTAATATGTATTATATTAGGGGTTTACGATAATTCTAACAAGATCTCGTTCCTTAGCTTAAAGTAATTAAGTAAAATTTGTATATAAGTTGAATACTTGAATAAAATATTTGAAATTTCTTTATTGTCTATGATTCAAGACGTATTTTATTACCACAATACTGCATTACTTCTGTTGGTAAAACAGTTTCATTTGGAACACGTGTTGAAATGTCTAACGTTCGACTAGGTATTGCTGATTTTAAGGTTATGTTGTCAAAGATTGTTTACAACTGTTTTTATACTTGATATTTTCGTTTATTAATTATGGAAAGTCAAAATGAAAATTCACATAAAAATATGAAGCGGAAAAAGAGAAGATCAGCAATGCAAATGGCAAAGAAATTTGCAAGACGTCGTAATTACGATGGTGAACTTGATACCGAAACTTATCAATATATGGTGCACGTTTTAGAGATAATTCGAAGTGAATTTCCAACAATGAGTGATAAACAAATTTTCGTAGACAATGTGTATCAACAAACCAATGGTAGAGAGATTGAATTTGCAAGGAATCAGGTACATAACTTCCTTCATGCGTTTTTCAAATTTACATTCAGCACAAGTCTGTTTGAAAAATTTAATTTTCCCTTACACCATGTATTATTATTTCTGTTACTTAGGTCGGCTCCAGAGTTCTTGATTCCTTAATTAAATATGCCGGTTTTGATACAATAGTTAGATTTGCCGAATCTTTTAACGAGGTGCTAAGACCATTCAACAGCGATAGATTTGCATCTCACGTTTTACAAAAGCTTATATGCGTTTGTGCGCACAGAGGCAACATAACAGATGCCGAAGATCATGCCGATACTGAGAAAGTCAAGCATTCGGAAGCTCTGAAGTACAATGAAATTGCTTTAAAGCTATGCAAATATTCGATAAATAATGTAGAGGAATTCATTTGGGACATGTACGCTAACCATGTTCTAAGAACTGCAATAGAATGTCTTGGGGGTCTAATTGACCTCAGTGAAAATAACGATAAAAAAAAATTCTGTCCCAATCTTCATACAAGAAGAAAAGTAATTAAAGAATATACAGACTTACTGATCGCTACTTGTCAACGCCTTTACGACTTACCACAGTTTCCAGAATTTAATCATGATAATTTGACTTCTGGTTTAGTACAGTCGACTTTGTACTCATTGAAAGGCATTGATTCGGACCTAAACAGTTGTATCATTAAAAAAATTTGTAACGATTGTTTCACTGGTAACGACGAAAACAAGTTATCAAATATCTTTCTTAACGAATGCTCAATGAGATTGTTAGAAGTTTGCCTATCTGTATCCGAACCAAAAGATTATACAATAATTTATGAGAGATTCTTTGAAAATCACTTAGGCGAATTGTCACTGATGAAGGGTGCCAATTTTAGCGTGCAAAGATTGTTCGAACATTGTCATACGAAAGAAATTATGGAAAAGATATTTGATGAGATTTCAGAACATTTAAAGGATATTCTTTTAAAAGGGCATACTGGTATTTTCTCTAGCTTAGCTAAAGCCTGCGGTAGACTTCGTGCAAAGCAAGGTTCTTTCATAAATATAATATGCAAGATTTTAAACTGTGAACAGAATGACAGGCAAACACATATTGTTTCGCTAGTTAGCACATTAAAAACTTACGAAGAATACCAAAACGAGGGTAAAACTAAATTACCCATAAATTTACACGGGAGTTTAACAGTTCAAGCGATGTTGAATTTCAACAAACCGATAAAGATAGTAAATTCGTTACTGGGGATAAGTGCTGAAGAGTTATCAGAATTGTTCGACGATCCGAAAGGTAGTAGAATTATGGATGCCTTTATGGACAGTGAGTATATCGGTGAAAAGAGTCGAGACAAACTTGCTAAGTGTCTTCAAGGCACATGGGCAAAACTTGCCTGCAGTACACATGGTTCGAGAAGTCTAGATAAAGTATGGGCTTGGGCTAAACAAAACCAAAAACTTATTATTATGGAAGAGTTAGCCGATATTGGTGAATCTCTTCGCTCAACTAACGCTGGACGAATAATATCAACAAAACTAAATGTTGCGTTATTTGCAAGGAATAAACAGGATTGGTTGCAGTCTCAAGGAAAAGAAGAAAAAACAAGAGCTCTTTTTGCAGACATAATTGGTAGTGCAAAGAAAGCAACTTTGTGAGCTTCTTTTTATTGAGATAATGTAAAATTGTTATAGAATATTACATATTGCTGTATCTTTTTCGACTATTGCAGCCTTTAACAACTTCAAGTTTTAAATAGCCAAGTTCTTATGTTATCGCAGCATTTTGTTTAATTATTTAATATATATGAAATTGTTAAAGTCCCTTTTGACACAATGATAATTATGTAAATGCAAAAATTATTTAATAATTATGATTTTCAAAGTGAAATGTATCAATTTTTTCAAGGTGAAAGATATACTTTATAAATACATTTTATTATATTCCGATGTACATCTTTAAAACATAAAACTTCTAATAGATTAGAGAAAGTACAATAATTGCTATAGTAAGAATCTTAATTTGAGCACAATTGTCCTAATGAAGATTGTTTGACAATTATAATTCTGTATTGCTCTATCGAATGACTAGACTTAACTATTTGATATAATTATTTTTCATTTGTCGATGTCATAGTTTATTGGTAAATCTACATCTTTTGAAAAATTATGTGTTTTCACTGGACGTATAATAGATATATTAATTTTTGGTGCAAGTTGCATAAATTATAAATTATTGTAATATACATATATATATATATATATATATATATATATAACATCTCTCGGTTTAATAATTAAATATGAATACATGAACAAAATATACTTATTCATTAATTTTCCAATACTTTCTCTATGCATGTACAATAAATTAATATTTATTTTTATTTTTTAATTCAATATCTCAATCGGTAAGTCGTTACTATCATCACTAAACTGCTTGATTTACTTGATCAATTAACTAATCAATAATTAGTTGCAATAAAAATCGTATTTATTGAAACTCGCCAAATAATAACAATGGTTTGTGTTAAATATTTCGTTGAAGAATTGACATTTTTAAATACAGTAAAACTTTTTTGAAATTATATCGATTTGAGAAATATTTTAATTTTGTTTTCATTGGCTGGAAAATAACATTTTGAGTTGTGGACAATAATTTATTATTGTCGTTGAATAGACAAATTTTGGGGAAAAAGTTTTATCTTCACAGTTTTCTAAGAAGGATTTAGAAATTTGATTGGTATTAATTGTAATTTAAAAATATTTTCCTTTTTCGAACGTAACATTTAATTAAATCATCAAACTTTATGTTAACAATATCTATATAATATTTATGTATCAATAGGTTTACAATAAATTATTATCTTAATTAATTGAACATGTAATTGCAGAACATTTAAATATAAAGTATTGCATGACAAAGTGGTTTTTTTTTTATTTATTTATTTATTTATTTATTTTTTTTTTTTTTGGAGGTGGGGCAATATTACTCTATTTTAAATAAGATTATGAAAGCATCCTTTTCGTTTCATAAATAATTAATTATTCAAAGCTTCGTGCAGATATATAATCTTAAAACCTTTAAAAATACATTGCAACTATACTTGGTGTAGGTAGTTTCACGTACACACAAATGTCGAGACCAGGAAAGTTCGACTAAAATTTAGATACGTTAATTATGTTAAATCTATAAATTGACTAGCATAGATCGATAAATTGGCGTTGACAAGTGAATAATAATTATCAACGTGTGCGTAAACTCTTATCTATATTATTGTGATTGAAAATTCTTTTTTACTTTATTAATATACAAGATTTCTGCTTAATATTGTTATTTACACTTTGTGTTATTAATGCAAATTAACTTTAATATAATAAGAGACAATTGAAAAATATGTACAATTTTCGTATAAATAATTATTTTTATGAAAAAATTACGAAAAAATGTCAATTTGTAATTTTCCGAGTAAATAAAAACAAATCATTATAATATTCATAAAAATTAACGAAATAATAATATAAGATTTTTGATATAATAGAATATTTGATGGAGAAGATGCAGTAGACGTTTGCAGAAATCGTTGCAAATTTTTATAAATTATCGTAAAATAAAATGTAAAAATTACTTACATTTAAAACGCAATTACATGTATTAGAAGTATATAAATAATTATACAGCACCAATTCATTAAGAGTTAATAAAGAACAAAGGTGGGTTTTGAAATTTTCTGATGTAAAAGGCGATTATATAATATTCATAATTTTCAAAAATAAATGAATATTTAAATTTGTATCTTTATAATAATATTTTAAGATTTACCTTTATCTATATATATATATATATATATATATATATATATATATATATATATATATAAAATATATAAAAAAAAAAAAAAAAAATTCAAATAAATAAAATGATTAGTACTTTATTATCTACCTTATTATTAAAGATTTAATCATTGAAAATTTTAATTCTTCCCGCTTGCTGTTTATAATCATTATTCGGAGACGTTAAATCTAAAGAAAAGAAGTCGTTGGAGACGACACTTAGAGCCACGGAAGATCATCTTTTTTTCCTGTCAAAAAATGCCGAAGCAAGTATAGCGCCGCAAAATAGATTTTTTTATTTTTGTTCTGTTGGCTATCTGTAGGACATGATAACCGTTAATTTTTAACTATCAGAGTTACGCAGATAAGTTTTTTTTTGACAAAATTTTTTAAGAAAATCGTCAGACAATTCTTTAAGTAATTATGGCATTGAAACATTTTGCAGACATTCGTAAGAGACATTTTTATGTATTCGTAGTATAAACTTTTTAACATATTTTGAAATAATATTTCGTTAATTGTTAAATAATATGAAGTTGTGAGATTGCATAAACAAGAATAAAAATATTCTGACGAAGCTGCGTAAATATGATGCGTGAATGACGAGATCGAAAAGTAAGTGGTGAAAGGAAACTCTCGGCGATCTGATGTTTGCGGGGCAAGTAAGTAAGGTGAGGTGCGGAGTAATTTGGAAAATCGGGAAAGCGGAAAAATTTCAAGACCCACTCTTGTTGGAGTGCATCGTCGGTTAACGCGAAATCTTGGCCGCGGGACTACACTTTTTACAGGGGCTCGGCTGCTATTTACACGGCCCCCGCGGCTCACTTGGCCACCGTCGCTGTGACCGTCGTGGCCGTCGGCACTCGGACGGGAGCCGTCGTTGGCTCGTGGTCGCTCGCTGTGCTGCTCGTCCTCGGAGGACTCGGGCTCGCCGAGCTCGGGTGTTCCTGCTGTTGCTGTTGCTGTTGATGTTGCTGCTGCTGCTGCTGCTGCTGTTGCTGTTGCTGTTGCTGCTGCTGCTGCTGCTGCTGCTGCTGTTGGGGCGCCAGGTTGTTGTTGCAGGTGGCGTGATGACCTCCGGCCTCCCAGTCGCGGTGCTGGCAGAAGGAGCCGCAGTAGCGCGCGATACCGCAACCCCCGCACGTCTCCAGGGCCACCCTGCCGCAATTCCAGCAGCTCTGCAAGTTTGTTTTTGCTCTTTGTACAGGTTTAAGGTGTCCGCGTATTCGCAGGTCTTTTTGCTTTGTAAGGGATTTTGCATTAATGTGGCGTTAAAGTGGCGAGATACGCAAGTTATTGTGACCGTGCTGCAAAGTACAGCAAGTATGTTAAATTATGAGGACACTCGATAAAATATTTTTATTTAGTGACTAATAGCTAATGATTCTCAATTTGTTTTCACCAAATGACAAATGGGACGATGTTTTATCATGACGTATCGATCTGTAAGACGACTTAATACAGTGATTGTACAGTTTGTGCAATGTGGCGTGGAGTAACGATTTATTTTAAGTTTTATTTTAAAGTTCGTTACCTCTCACGCCGGCATTGCAATTTCAAGATAAAAATGTCATCGATTCGATCGTTCAATCCATTGAGGCAGTATAAATGTAATTATTGTAAATCAATGATCAATAGCTTTTCACAAGAATTTCAAGAAATGACTTACACAGCACTCTCCTCCGTGGCTCGTGTAAATGCCATACAGATTTCCATGTCCTTTCCCCCCTCCTCCTAAGTTTTCAATCGTTTTTATTTACTGGGATTGATGAATTATAGAGTGCGTCGGGAGGGGTGGGGAGGGGAGGGTGGGTCGAAAGACGCTCGTAGAAAGTACGCTGAATTATTGTTTTTGACGCGTAACAAATTAACGTGAACTCACACTGACCACACTGCCGCTTTGAAGATGGGCGTCCTTGTCGAGGTCGTCGCCGCAGGAGGAGGTGGCCGTCGTGGCTGTGACTCGTGCCAGGAACGGACTCGGTCGGCCCCTCTGCTGCTGCTGGTTCATCGGCAAACTGTCCAGGTATCGTTGGCTTCGTAGTCGCTCGCTCGCCCGAGACTCCGCGACGGCGACGGCGACCGCGCGTTGCACCTCCGCAACCGCTGCTCTCTTAACCTCCTGCACAGCTTCCTCTACATAGGGCACCAAGATGCGGAATTTAAAAATGCTCGCGTCGTTAATATCTTGTCTATGGAATTGCGCCCACTCAGCTTTTTCCAATAGTAACATGGAGCTTTTAAGTATTTTTCACGCTGAGGAGGTTGGCCGAAATTTCAATTTCATTATTTAATCCGATAATTGTTTGAAATTTCAAAGACAGTGAATCCTTTGAAGACGAACGTTTAACGCTCGCTCCTTCGTAATAGCAGATAAGGGTAAAAATTTTTCAAAGAATCCTTCCAAAGATTCTTCTTTACATATAAGACCACGTAAAGGATAAATAATGGTATTATAATTAGCGTCTCTTAGTAAAGAAGAGACTTTACAAAAAATTATACTTAAATGTGTCTAGTAAAAGCTACGTTTTGCAGAAATTTTATTAGAAATGCATATAAGAGGGCGCAAATATATATATATAGTTATGGATTTATAGATGTAGGGCAACTAATGATTATTCATTTTGTCTTACTTGCAATGATTTATCATTATATTTTTAGGATTTATCGTTAAAAATGTTCACGTATCGATATTTATTATATAAGTTTTTGAAAATCCTCGTATGTACGTGTTAATAAAACATTCAATATTTAATTCGAGCAAAGCTCACTGGCCAGCCGCTTCGGTCGGCTAAGACGCTCGGATAAGTCGCTGTTTTATATTAAACGTAAACAATCGTAAATGAAGACGACACGGATGGCCGTGGGTCCGTTTTGAGTTCCGAGTTCGTAACTGCAATTTATGATAACCGGCAATTAACTGGTCTACCGTTATGTCGCATAATGCTTGTAAAAGTACACGGGCATCGGACCAATCGCTTTCAACATTGTCGAATAATTCACGAGTCAGGCAATTAAAGCACTTTAGTGTACCACGGATTAGTAATTGTCGGTTAAGAATTCACCGCTACTGATACCAACACTAGTTCGCAGCTCTTACATCGTTGAGCCAACATCGCCCGATAGACTTTTATAAACATATTTTAGCTTAACTAGTTTAACACAATTTCACACAGGTATATTGCGCGATAGAGTTTATAGAAATTTGTTCAGCCACAATGCGCATTTTTTCTCGGAATATATAATATTGGTGTTTATCTATTTCTTACGAGATAGTAATTTCCGATTATTCTAAAATAAAAAATCTCCTATTCCATTGGATCCACTTTCCAGATTGGCGCAAAAAGACTACAATTGATTGAGAATTTAAGCAACATTTGCTTCTTTCGTTATGAAATGTTCGTGAAACGTAGCTTTCTCACTTTTTATTGGAGCTTTTTTTTTCTTTTTTTTTCCTTTTATTTATTTATATTTATTCATTATTTTCTTTTATATTTTAAGTATCGACGTATTTATTTAATTATATTAGCAAAAGTCCATCATAAATATCATCATAAATGATAAAAAAAAATAATACATTCATCCCAATACTTGGATAAGTCGAACGGGAACGAGATAATTAAGAGAGCTTTTTCGTATTAATAAATAAATGCGCGTGTAAAGGACGTTTGAGGCTATCTTTCGTTAATATTTCGCCCAAACCAGTCTAGTAATTCCACTGAAAGCATCGAATTGGCTTTGCATAATAATATAATACGTACCGGCTTTTCTTTTAACCTCGGCGACACGATCTTCGGTAGCCCTGATCGTCTGGGCTACGATCTCTCCGGAGAGCCTCTTGAAGGTGCCGTCCCGATCGGTACTCGCGGTTTCCACCTGCTGCTGTTGCTGCTGCTGCTGCTGCTGCTGCTGTTGCTGCTGCTGCTGCTGCTGTTGCTGGTGCTGCTGCTGGGTCGCGGCCGTCGTTTGAGCCCCGTTGGCCAGAACAACCGGCGTCTGTAAAGCCGTAGGCGCCGTCGCCGGACTCGAACAGCCGCGCCTCTGGAGAATCGCCAGGGCGCGTTTCGTCTTCTCAACCATACCGAGAATGCAATTAAGCATCACGTGGATGTTGCGCCACTCGTCATCGAGACTCGCCGAGCCATTTTGCCCGGGTGCTCCACCAGAGGCTGAGGATGACACAGCGGTTGCTTTAATTTTTCACTTTGCCGCCGAGGGCTGTCAAAATCGATTTTCCCCCATCCCGAGATTTCTATTTTGGATTGCAACTTCACCAATTTCCATTATGGTCTCGCGCTTGGCATACGCGGATGTCCAATACACAAATTTTTTATTGACAACCAACGTTTAATTAAGCCGAAATTGCATGGGAGCGTGTATTTTATCAATGGGCCAAAGCGGATTGATACTAGCGAAAAATTACCGTCTCTTCGTTTTTCAGCCGTATTTCATTAAACAGCAAACGGAAAGACAAATGTAATAACGCATGTAAGCGCTTTCATCGTGCATTGCAATATAGAAGGCGCGAATGAGCCCCAGGATGTTGTGCTCGAAGGTGCAACCGTATAGAGATCATCTACACGGCCGTGCATCTCGTAACGAGTGCAACGTGAGTGATTGAGCTAACCGTTAAATGCAAATAAGCTTCACTTTGCATTAGCGCATATTAAGCGAATGTGGAAGAAAAGCAATGGAGACGACGGCCGATTTGGCTTTGGAAAGCGACGAGGGCCAGGAGGCTCTCCCGGTACCGCCGTGCAATCGCTAATAATTAGCGATTCGTTAAAGTTACGAGGAGAATATCCGCGCTAAGCTTACCCGTTGTCCCAACGTGGGCGATACTCGACGGCTGGTGTCCAAGGTGGGCCGAGGTCGATTGGGTCAGAGCCCCGTAGCCCCCCGGCTGTAGGGTAGCCGCTCCGTTGTTGGGCCCGTGGGGATGATGTCCGGGCATCGGTGGTGGCTGCGCATACCAGCAGTAGGACACCTCCGACGGGTGCTGCTGCTGATGCTGATGCTGTTGCTGATGCTGGTGCTGGTGCTGCTGCTGATGCTGCTGCTGGTGCTGGTGGTGGTGGGCGAGATGGTGGGGGTGATGGGGGTGGTGTTGCTGGTGTGCCGCCCAGAGGCTCGAGGAGCGTTTCACGTAAGGAGCGCCCTCGTCGAAAACAGTCCCGTTCTCGTAATACCTGCGACCGCCCGCCCATCCATCATCGAGATGCCTTATTAGATCGCTTTAAATTTCAATGGCAGAAGTCGCTCCAGCGACTTCTTAACGCGCGATTTCAAGCCACATGCTCGGGTTTTTCAATAACAATACTGTTACGGATTGAAACAGTTGAAAGCGAAATAGAAAAGTGGGAGAGGTATTGAGCTCACGGACAGTTGTTTATAAACACTAGCCAACAAACTCGAGAAATATTTCTACGCCGAAAACTCGAATATGCGTTTATAATTCCGAAAATTAATGCCAATGAACCTTCAAGGCTATGCCCTATTGACGTCACGACAATTATCGGCATAGCAACAGACACGGGATCGCTACCGTCGCCGAAAAAACGAGTGCGATAATATTTAAGGGCTGCGCTTGCCACGCGTAGCGAACAGTTTTTGTCTCAGTCTAGTCTAGTAACAATTACCCACATCATCATCATCATCATCATCATCGCAAGCGCACTATTCAGTCATCAAGCTTATCTCTACATTCATCACTCACTGTAGCGTGATACACGTACGTAATCCTCAACTAATAAGTAATTTAACAAGCCAATAGTGAAGCCACATTATCCGTATCCGTTAACCAAACTTAAACTAATAAAGCGCTAGTGCTAACATAATTCGAGAGTGAAAATATTGAAATCATACTCCATATATTAACGGATTACACCGACGAAGCAAGCAGAAGGCCCTTTTAGGAAGCTTCGGTACGCATACTACTACAGCGGCACTTCTCGGAAGGGAAGGAGTCACTCCTCGCATCACCGAGAGTATACACACTCTCATCAGCACGTAAACCAATCGAAGAAACTTTCCCAAATTATTTACTCACGCCATCATTCATACATTTTATGATAATTAACTATTTATTATATTATTACATTTAATAAATGAAAGACAAGAAACACTACTTGTAGTATTGAATAATTGCATTGCCCCTTCCATTTGCCAGCAGCAACACCTCCACCCACCATCAAAACGAGGTTTTTAATCTGATCCCAGACAAATACCAATTTCGCGAAGATGCTCGAAAATTATATTTCTCACCTACAGGAGGATTTAACGGACGGATGAGATGCGCAGCGAGCAATATGGTCGCGAGCATGAAGCATTGTCATAAATTTCTTCCGAGTCTCTTTATCGTGACTTTTATCAGATCAGATTTTGTATGCGAAGACTATGTGATGTATGTAGTGCAGCAATTGCTATGATATATATATATATATATATATATATATATATATATAAATTGATATGATATAAGGAACGTGTATCTTACGCTGTAAGTATCAATGCTCATTCATCGTTGCCACTTAATTATGATAAATTATTCGTGCGGACCGTGATTTTTATTATTATTATTATATCGTTGTTTGAAGATTTTGTGATATGAGCGTATCGAGTCTTTTTACCTTCAAAAGCATTGTAACTTTTCAATTTATCCATTACTATTTGCACGCACATATATATATATATAGTCATAGCTGCAGTACGTTATGTGCAGTTTAATATTAATTGTTAAATATAGCTTTTAATGATAGCAGCTATGCCACTGTAAAACATATATCCATTAGTAGTGCCTTAGTAATTGATAAAAAATATCAAAACCAAACAATGGAATTGAATTCGTATACTTTATATGTGTTAAATGTACGCGAGTTCATTTGTATTGAGGCGACTAATCGTGACCACGACACAGAGTGCATTTCTCTTCTTCTCTCTATTGTGCGGAGATTCTCTCTGTTGTCGCCGAACGAAGTTGTATATAGTAGCCCTTATGTTAAATGTATAGAATGCTCTAGGATTAACAATGGGTAGAGCGATCTGCCGCTTACAAGGAGGCATATTCTTCTCGTTATTAATGGCCCACAAAAACAGCCACTAATTTATGTAGTCATTCGGTTTTCTACAAGTCTCTGTACTTGGAAATTTTTGCAACGAAAATGTTGTCGTATAGTTATCGATCATTTTTTAGTAACATGGCACTGCTCCTTTCACAACGATCTGCCATTTTAATCTTATCCGTTCCTGCTACCGCCGCCGCCACCGCTCCCCCCCCACCCCCCCCCCCCCCCCCCCCCCGCAGCGCCGCATATATATTCAATTAACTTGTTAATTTGAAGATTACTCGTCAATGTGATGTGACTCTTATTCGCAGTCCGTATATTATTTTCATCTTCCTTGGCTTCTATTTAAAGGCTTCTTTCTTTACGTTTTCGTTAACGCGATGAAACTCAGTATAAGGAAACTCCGCGTGTTACTCAAATTTCCGTATATCTGTATATTAAAAGTTCTATGAGAGCTATATTGTTAGTGGGAGTAAAGTAAAATATTAATTAATTAAATTATATATATAATAGAATGTTGATTCGAGGGCAGTTTTGGCAAAAACGTTTTAAGCGGTGAATTGTGAATCGATAAGAATTTATTCTGGCCTATTTCATCTACGCATAATTAAAAATCTCTGATTAAGTAGCTACAACACTCACAGCTCCAATACATATATATGAACATTTCTTACGGAGAAATAAATATTAATCGTTCAATTATGTCGGATAATAGTTTTAAATAATTCCAAGATGATTTTAGCCAATAAAAATAGCACGATATCAGCGCATTCTATATTAAAATCTACGTCCATCTACAATAATACAGCTTGACAGATAATAATAATGATATGGTTTATCCGCATGCGTTTGTTCATACGATATTTGATATTTCGAAGGCAGAGTTACATGAAGTTACAATTCTAGATATCACTATATCCAGCCGCTTATTTTTATTTTTGGATCAAGTTATTTTATTTCAATTTTTAAGATTTACTATTGTAAGCTCCATTTGATTTTACTCGTTTGCTCACAATGTCGGCAATAATTGTCGGCTAAATATCGAAGCATCTCTATCTTATTATTTATGCCGTTAATTGATTTGATTCGAAATCTCATAAGCTTTTATGTCTATTGTACGCGTGTAAAGTGTGCATTTGTAATATGATAAAAATGATACGCCATTCGCTCAGTGACCATGTAGAAAAATAATCGCTATTCAATTTTTCAATATTCAAAATCAATATTCAATCGATAATTTTCCAAACTAATACATCATTTTCTTACAGTCGTCCAAAGTTTTTTTAATACATTAATCGTATAATTAAGAGATATATGTAGGCATATAAAAAATGTTTTTCTAATAAGAAAAATCATCTAAAATAAACTCGACGAATATTCGGCATAATTAATCTTACATAATATTCGCTGCGTAAAGACTCGTTGGAAATTTTTTTTATGGAAAACTCGATAAAGAGTCATACGAGCGTTACATATTAATACTACTTTTTTCTATTAATCCGTCGGCGGATATATTATATTTCAATTAGTTTCGAGGCTAAACGAATCGATAATTTTAAGAAATAAACTCGACGTAACACACTACTCATCATTACTGAGCTTAAGTTTATGGATCTTCGAACACGACTATTAAATTTGTATTCGATATTAAAATAATGGAGGAAAAGTGCTCCATGGTTACTTTAGCGTGAAAACGTGGCAAAGCCGGCGTGAGTAGAGCATTGCCCGTTTTAATTACTTGTACGGAATACTATGAGAATAAAGAAAATCGTAAATAAAAAAAAAAAAAAAAAAAAAAAAAAAAATGTACGTTCGACTAGGCGAAAACCAATTTCCTTGCAAGCGGCGAATGGTCTATTGGAGGGTGAGGGGCTGGGCAGATGAGGAGAAGGGAAACCGTCCGAAAAAGTTCCTCCCCACAAGTACTCGGGCTAATAGAAAGTTGCCCAATTGATTAGCCATTGGCGAAGACCTGTGCCGTGAGATCGACCTCGTTGTTATCCCCTCCCCGAGTCGACGGGCAGGTGCGTCCTCGAAAAATGTTTCGGCTGAGTTCACCTACGAGGCGGAGGCGTGTGGGTGGCACATTAGCCGCGTGTCGATAGGCACTCGAGCCTTCTGGCGCAAGCTCTTCGCGTCGGGGAGAGTGCGAGCGAGGAGAGAACGTTGGGATGGGACGGGTAGTGGAGGTGGTGGTTGATGGAAAGGGAGGGGCGGGGGGGGGGGGGGGGAATAAGGTGAACGGCGCTCGGTGATATATGGAAACGTCAGCGGCAGACATATCGAGAGGATGCGGGAGAGCGCGGCGCGGTTAGGCTATTGGATGTGGCAAAGCCAGGCGCAGTCTCTCCTTCTCTCCTCGACTCTCTCCGACTCTCCGTCACTACACCCCTTTCTTCTCTCACTCTCTCTCTTTCTTTCTTTCTCTCTCTCTCTCTCTCTCTCTCTCTCTCTCTCTCTCTCATGCATTCGTACGGTATCTGGGGCGACGTGCGTTTTGTCGCCTTCGCCTCGTCGCCTCGTTCCGTTTGCTGTATTATATATTCTGCGAGGTGAAGTGTCGTGCTTTTGTGTGCGTACTCATTGGCTACGCGCGCGGCATGTCTATATTAAACCCTTTGCGTTTCTTCGATTTACTTGGAAATGAGTTTTCTTTTATCGAGCCTTTAGTCAATTTTATTTACGAATGCGCCCTGCACTTTCCAGTCGAGTCAATATTGGTTTGGCCACTTGTACTTTGGCGAGTAAGCTGAGATTCGAGAGCTACGTCAATTTTTGGCGTAAATTTATTCGACTCTTATCAGTTTTTTTCGCTCGATAGTTAAAAAAGAAAAAAAGACCAGAGAAAAAATTGATATTTTTCTCAATGGTTTGACACACGGATAACATA